ACCATTTTATTAAAAATGACTCCCACAGTGATTGCACGGTACATCATGAGCAGTTTCCTCAGGGACTATATATGGAAACCTTACAGAAGTAAGTTAACATTACTGATGATATCGATAATAAAGCGTTACTCAAACTGGAAAAAAAGCTAAAAGCCAAAGTATTGATTTTGCATGAAAGCAAGTCTCTTTCCTCTACGTACATTTAGCTCCTTAAAAAACGAAAAAAACAAAACCAGGAAAAAATGAAAACAAGACGATATCGCTAAACTTGACCTGCTGCAATGTTCAAAGCAATGTTCAGTTCGCAGCTCATTTTAAGAGTCTAGATATCCAGATTGTGGACAAAATCTTTAGCGCGTTTGCCCAACCTGTTGATGACGCCTTGGCGAACTTGCATGTACACATCTTCGTTTAGGGTGAAGACTTGAGTTGACTTGTGCAATTGTATTTCTTGAAAGTTGTAAGAGAAGAAAAAGTAGTCGCTCGATACCTTATTGGCTTTAAAATAGGCACCAATGAAAGCAAGGCTGACCTGACCATTGGTAACTGTGCATGGCAGGATTTGGAAGCGACCATTATTGCTTGATGTACTATTCTTATTGAACAGAGTTAGGCCCTCTGGCGACTTCTTTAAGCTATCCAAGGTGTCCTTTACGACTGACACAAGTTGCTTGTCTTCACCAATCATTGCGCTCAAAAGCTCCAAAGTCACCTCGGATAACTTGAAGGAATCAGCACTAGATTTGTACTCGTCGAAGCTGAAACCTTGCAAAATCCAGCCTAGCTTTCCCAGTACGTAACCGTAAAACTCGTACCAGTCTGTAGCCTGCTCCTTTTTGGGGTACTTCTTGGTTGCCGCCAGCTGTGCAAACAAAGTGGAGTTTTGGACGTCTTCCAACTGTTGACCGCTCAGGTTATGGGTAAAGGAAGCAAGACTACCAGCAACAACTTTGCCCTGAGATGAATCAGGAGTCAGAGACTCGTCGAGTTCGAGGGAACATATAAATTCTAGAGCTGCCTGGCTCGACATGGTGATAGTTCGTGGACGCTCTGATAATACACACGAGAGCTTAAATCCCGCTGGCTAGCGCTTTTAAGAGCTTCAAAACAATAGAATATTTGTTTAACACGCTACCACGGACTATAAATCTTAAAGTGGCGATCCTATTGGTCAGGTTTTTCGATCCTTGACCACCGGCAATCAAAGAATTGAGTTCATTGAATTGAAATTTGTCGGAGCGGTTCTTTAGCGGATAATTCCGTTGTCTCGGTTAGCTTTTCGTCACTGCCTACTTAGCTTTTTTACCTCTTTTCTTTTCTATGGCGTCGAATTTGCTTGAGTGCTCAGTGCATCTTTCTATGTTTTGCCTCTGCCTACAATACTACACACGGTGAAAGTAAATCT